ATGTATCTTCTAAGGGTATCAGAGTAATCTGAAACAAAGCCAAGATTTCTCCAAACTCCACTGTAGTATCTTAAACCACAAGACCATCCCTTCAACAACATGCAAAATAACTTGAGCATTTCAGTTGGTATGATAAAACCATAACATCTGCAAAGATATTCTTGAACTGGAAAAAATAATTCAGATTTTAAAAAGCAAGATTTTATATGAACTCCATAAAAATATATGTCAATATGCCCGATTTAATGCAAGCATCTTTAGAGGTTCCAGAATTAGCCCTATTTTAAGGTTATATCCAGGAGGTTTTTCAGTAGCAGTTCATATTTAATTTTCTGAGGTGCTGGTTGGTATTTAATAAATATTCATAAGTTCTGGTGCCTTCTAAAACTAAAAAGAGGGTTTCTTGAGTCCTGTTCCTTTCCTCCTTAAAAGTTTAATTTAAAAAGGCTTGAGTCCTTTCAAGCACTTCCCATCAAATTCCTTCACTTGGACCAAGGTACCTCTTGGGTATTACTTTGACAGAATGAGGTTTGTTTAATGATGAGGTTTTAATGCTATGAAGACATGCATTAGCACACTGGGTAACATGGTGTAAAAACAAGAGGTGATGCAGGGTTTCTTTCCTTCCTTTCAACAAATCGCACATCAATAAGCAGTCACTTAGACATCTTCTTTATTATTTTGTCAATGGACCATTTTCCCCCAAATAGTTATTCCTTAGTCATTCTGTGCCCAATCTTGCTCCTGTTAACACTGAGACACTGCAAAAGTCTTTCTATGTTTCAGTGGTTCAGGATAAGACTGTCAAAGAACAACTCATCTCTCAAGAACTCCAGTCATTTAAAAGTACTGCTGCTTGGCAAATTCAAAGCCACAAAAGCACATTGAAAGCAAGGTCCATTTCTCAGGTTTGTCCCTTGGATTACACTGGTGTAAAATAAGTGTTAAAAGCTGGCCAGTCAGAGTAACTTTATGTCCCCTCACACTGGTGTAAACACCAATACCAGCTGGCTTCTGGAGACATGGTCCTACCATTATATTGCTTTATTGATTGTACAAGCCACTGTCATCTTTGTTCCTCCTTTTTTATTGCCTCATTTTTCCTACTGCTGCTAATTCCTATCAGGTGGCCTTTGATCTCACTCAGTCCCTCAAATTCTTTTGGTTCTGGCTCTGCATCCAACATCATGAAAATGAATTCTGACCTGTTGCTGAGTAGGTCAACTCAACCAAATGCACTATTCCCTGAACTCAAGGATTTAGTGTATTAAAAAACTTCCCCAATTTCTTATTGGACCTTTCCATATTTATTTTCCCTAACTGGCTGCAAAATGCATTTCACTGGTTGTGAGGTACTCAGTAAACACTCAGAAAATCACAGAACTAAAGAAGAATTCAGTTTGAAAGGGACCCAAGCAGCTTTCTAGCCCACCCTCCTGTGCAAAGCAGGGTCAGTTATGAGTTCAGATCAGGTTTCTCAAGGTTTTATCTAGCTGAGGCTTGGAACCTTTCCAGAAAAGAGACTGCTCAACTTCTCCAAACAACCTGTTTCAAAATCCAACTCTCTTTCTAGGGAAAAAGTTTCTCCTTATGTTCAGCCTCAGACTCCTGTTTCAACTCAAAGGGTCTGGCTCCATCTTTTTGCTACCATCTTTCTACATACTGGTGGTTGCTACTATTCCTGACAACCCACGCCAGCAAGCTGCCTCCTCCCCACACTGAACAAGCCCAGCTCCTACAATCCCCTGCCCACAGAGCAAGTGAACTGGATGGAAGTGCAAGTTCTAGCACTGGGGGTAAAGAACTGGAGTCCAAAAAGTGCAGAGGGAAGGGGAATAATGACTACCCGTGATTAGCTCGCTAGGCTCCTGTTAGTACTGTCCAGGATACTGTTTGCTTTCTTTGCTACCAAAACACTCACTACACTGGTTCATTTAATCTTTTTGACTGTCAGGACCACAAGTCCTCATCACTAAAGCCACTCCCCAGCCAGCCAGTCCCAGGCTGAATGTGGTGCAAGGGGCTTGGCCTTCCAAGCTGCAGAACTTTGCATTTGTCCTTGCTGAATTTCATAAGGTTCCTGCTGCTAGGCTCCTGTTAGTACTGTCCAGGATACTGTTTGCTTTCTTTGCTACCAAAACACTCACTACACTGGTTCATTTAATCTTTTTGACTGTCAGGACCACAAGTCCTCATCACTAAAGCCACTCCCCAGCCAGCCAGTCCCAGGCTGAATGTGGTGCAAGGGGCTTGGCCTTCCAAGCTGCAGAACTTTGCATTTGTCCTTGCTGATTTTCGTAAGGTTCCTGCTGACACCTTCCTCCCGCCTGTGTCTGGTCCCTGTGCCTAAGCACCTGCAAATGGCAACTCTACTACTCTCGAGTCTACTGTTACCTTCAATTTGGTGTCACCTGCACATCTGATGAGCGTACATGCTGTCCCACAGCATCTTCAAGATCAATGTTAATATGAAGACCTTTTTTCTTACTAGATAAATCACCAGATTAAGCATTTTTATTTCCTTATATATCTACAGCTGCTCTTCATTAGCAGTAATAAAAAGGTATAAAATCTCCACAATGGAAAGAATGTTTTGGGTTGCATTTTAGTCCCCAACTCAATAAACTGTAATTGGCAACTAAAAGTCCCAAGTCAAATGCCACACTTTTCAACACCAATGGTTAACAACTCCTAGATATGTTTGTCCAAGGCTATTTTCCTAGCTTATGACCATGCTTTAGATCTTATCTTCAAATAAAGTTTAAATATCCTTTTCATGTACCTTTCTTCAAATTCTTTTCCAACATATTTTCCCATATCAAAGCAGCCTGTAAAGTCACTTTAATTCCTGAGAAATTTTCAATAATCACATCACTTCTCCACATCCATATCTGGAAACAGTTATGCTACCTTGGCTTAATCTTCACATTAGTTTCAGTGCTTCTTTCATTCTGTAATTTTTTGAGCCACAAATCCACTGTTCTATCCCCTTATTATATTTCAAATAATCAGAGTCATAGGGACCAAGAGAACTGGAAATATCCTCCCAAGTTCTTGATTCCACTCATAATATTATTACAATATATGTTCATAAAATCCATACAAACACCGATCATATTTCTTCTTTTCTTTAGTAGTTACTGAATTGAAGCTATTTTCTTTCCTGCAGGCTTACTTTCTAACACTCATACTAATATTTTCCTTATATTTCTTTTGTCTAAAATAAGAAAGATTGATCTTGATTCTTCTTTTCCAGAGGTCTATAAAAGTTCAAAGTTTTGCACATCTGCAATGAAACTACAAGGTTTCCATCTATGCTTATATTGAAATGAAAACAACTTTTTCTCCCTTTCAGCTTCATCTCACAGTGCCTTAATTCTAAAAAGAGACAAGATCATAGTAAAACAATCCTAGAAAAAAATTAAAAATAGCTTCTGGGTTCTGTCAGCTCTGTACACACGGGTGGGAACACAGGCTACATTCCTATGTACTGTATTCAACAGTTGATGACTTAGAGGAAATGGGCACAATAGTTGTGTACTAAAACTCAACATTACCAAACCAATAAAACCACCTCTCACATGTAAATGCATACGTATTCATGGCTACATGGTAAACAAATATTGGTAGCTTAGTTTGCCATGTTTGCAATCATTCATATGTTATCAGAAAGAAAAGAATAGGAACATGAATCAACGGAAAATCTGAAACACCACAAATACACATATAGGAACAGAAACTGATTGAAACATGCGTTAGTTAACAAAACATTATTGTTAAGGCTGAGATTTGTATGCGAAACTCAAATCTCTGCTTGGTATTAAATGACTGAATGCCAATTCCCAGTTTTGTACACTTGAGAGAACAAATCAGTGTTCCACATTAAACTTTTAACAGATTAATTACTGCCTGGGATATGAGTAGAAATACTATTTCACTCCCAAGTTACATCTTTTTTATATTAATCAGTTACTCTGCTAAACTGATGTCACTTCAAAGTGCTTAGATAAAAACCACTACAAAAAACTGAGTGGGAGTTAACAAGTCAAGCAGATCAACAAAATCAATATAAACTTCTAAAGTAAGTGGAAAAATAAAAATATAATTATACTTTTTAATATATTCTTCTAAGACAAGACACCAAGAGTTGAAGGTTTGGAGGTCCTGTGGGTATTTTAGGGACAAACCATAATAGAATAAACAAGTATTTTTTTAGACTAGACAAGGAAAGTATGTGCAGCTGGGAAGCCCCCTATCTAATAAATGAAAGACTGCAAGAAAGAACAATTGTTTGCATTCAGGCTACACTTGGGACAGAAATCAGTTTCATTGGGTAGAAATAATACTTTTTATTGATACTAGAAAAATACCAACTTTAAGGATCATAAAATACTAGAATACAGTGATGTAAAAATCTCCAATGAGGAGGCAAAATTTTTCCAGAAAAAAGTTAGACAAACATCTCTCAGAAATGAACTTGCTCTGTTGATCCTGATTCAGCTCTGGGGAGGGACTCAGTTGTGTTTGCTTCCTATCCTACATGTTAAGGTTATTTGATTTTGTTGATTTTTTGTTAAGCTGATTTGTTAAGGTGATTGATTTTAAAAGACAAGAAAAGGCAAAAAAGAATATGAACTCAAAGTGAAACACCTCAGTGAAAAAAAACCTGATTTACATTTTTCCTCATAGGACTTTTCTTAATGTTTGGGGTGGGTTTATTTATTTGGAGTGAACAGGGTGTGACCCTTGCCCACATACAGACTGACTTCTTTCCTCATTATATTAACCCTGAGTAATCTGAGCTTTATCTTTTGGAGCCAAGGGGAAATAAATTACCACATCCTATGAAAGCTGGTATATTCCCCCAGCTCTAACCCTTGCAACTATCTAGTCATCGATCAACGAAATGCTCTCAGAGCAGTCACATTCTATTAACAACAAAGCAAAACCATTTGCTGCATTTTAAGTAAGTAAAATATTTCTGATAGTGCATACTTTACCAGTTATGTCATGCTGTTTGAATGACTCACTGTAGATTTGATACTGATTAGGACAATGTTTCTTCAGCCATTTGCAGACATCCTGTTGAGTCCATAATGCCACAGGCTTGGTCAGCTTCACAGTCCCAGACTAGAAACAAAAAATGAAGAACAGAAATTATGTTTAGTTCACTCACAAGTTTCAAAAATTCTAATCTGTGACACCCATATAGAATATTAAAAAAATAAATGCAAGATAGGAGCTGCTCTGACTGGCAGATACCAACACATTACACAAGACCCAGCTATTCAAATACATCACACTGGAATCACACACAGTGAAAGGTTCTTTAACATAACTTTGCATTGAATACATGTTCCTTGCATCGCAGAAACATATTGTACCACCTTTTACTTGAGTAATAGTCGGAAGAGTGACCAAGCCTGACTGCTCCCAAAGGGCAGTAGTTGCAGCCTTTGAAGTACATTTGTGTCCTGGTTTGGATACAACCATGGAACACCAGGAGTATCTTCAGGCCAGGTATGTTCCTCAATTACAATTACAGAAGAATTTGCAATGAAGCCCTTCAGTGCAAACATGCTGAAAGACTGGTTCTGCCTGGGAAAAGGAGACTACACACAATTGTGAGAGCTGGTGCCATCAGTTCATACTGAGCATTTCAGCTGACACTATTCCTCGTTTCAGTGATGTTTACAAGCACTTTTAATTTTTCTGCTTCCTTTTTACCTTTAACCATCCTATACTAACTGTTATGTGCAATAAACAGAACTCCTGCTTAAAACAGCCACTTCTTTATAAATCATGATCACTGTTCAAAACTTTACTGAAAAAAATCAGGTTTATAATCGCTTATCTGAACAAATAGATAAACACCGTATGTATAAAATATTAATAAATTTACCATATGTATAAAATCACAATTCATTTAATCAAACAATTTGCACACACACTTTTTTATCCATATAAGAATGCTGAGCTCCAGGCAACCTGAACTGCAGGGATTTCAAGCTTCTTGTCAAAGCAGGCAACAACAACAAAAAGAAAATATCTTAAAAGAGATTTAATCTTTCCTTCTTTTGCAATAGTCTGCCTAAGAGACTTAGAAAATCTGTGAGACTAAGATACTAAGAAAATAGAGACGAAGAAAATAGATGGACAATTATTACCAACCATAAATGTTTAACACTCGACATTGCTGATTTAAGCGGGTGTGAACACAAATGTATCCCATTTACTTCAAGATTTTGTCAAAGAACTGAGTCTGTGGAGTAAAATCAAAGTACCTCTGTTCCCACAGTGTATATGCAGAATACCTGTCCTCCAGCTCTTTGGTGATGTAAAAGGTTCAAGAGAAGTTTACAAGTTTTTCTGCACAAATTTGAGGTGAAGGGGAGTATCATCTCAGCAATTCTTCTCCATGACCTTCTCCATTAGGTCTCATGGCAGATTCCCTTGATACTGCCTGCCAGGTGTTATCCTTGCAGTTATGCAGATCTACTTTGTCAGACAGACCTTTTCAAAGTTGCTTTGAAATTTTTCATAACTAGAAGGCCAAAGGATCAACACAGTTTTAAGCTATTGCTTTGCATGTCCTATTAAGTCCACAAAGCACATCATGCAGAGATACTAAGGGCCAGGGAATATGGCAGAGCTAGAATTGCAATTGGCAAACATGTATTGAATTTCTCATGTGCAATTTTCCCTTATCTTGTTTTCACTGAACTTAAATAAACATCTGGAATATTATAGTTCAATATACAATACAATGCTTATCCCTCAGATCAGCCTTTTCTTAAGTTTTTTGAACAAAAATACACTCGCCAGAAACACGAACCATGCTTCAAACACATGAATAGGCACCATCCACATTTAGAGGTATCACAGTAATGCATAAAATCACCCCAAAAAACTGATTCTTACCTTTTGTTTCTACCCACCAACCTGCAGCAGGCAGAAGCCTGACTAATAGACTTGGCATCCACAATAAAAGAAACTTCTGCATAAGTTTATGGTGCATTATAACCAGGACAGCCCTTGCTCCACCACTGTTCTTTCTCAGAAGCACATCAAGTCTTCTGCATATACAGAAACTCCCTCTGAACACTGCATAGGTCTGGAGAAGGGGCAACCTCTGTAGGGAGACAAGTGCCCTGTAACTGTTCCTCATGCAATTAAGAAGATCAAAGGCTCCTCTTTGAACTTCTCTAGCCTACTTCTTACTGCTATTTGAGTCAAAGATGAAACTGAATTTCAATGAAGAGCCTGATATTATGGTCTCAGTTAGCTGATTTTTATTACACACATACATAAATGTGTGTCCTTCACAAATACATCAAAGAAAAAAAAAACACAATTAAAAATAGCCATGCACAAGCAGTCTCTCTGATACCATAGAGACCCTGAACAGCAGGGTCAAGACTTCAACATGTATCTTTACAAGATCAAGAAGTATCTTTCTTGAGCATTAGAATCTTTAATGACTAAAGGAATGTCTGTTAGCCCTTGAGAAAGAAATTAATGGCTTTTCTTTTACAACATAAACCACTTACAAATATGTGTATACAAACATACATAGCTAGCTATAAACTTACAAGCTATTCCTAGCTAAAAGTACAGAAGTAGTGCCAATGTTTGATTTTACTACGAGGTTGCTCTTTTCAGTTCAGCAACTCTTCTCCTCTTAGAAGGTTTAAGCACCACTGTGTTAAATATCTGAACAAGTTTTTCAGCAATTACAGAACAAATTTAACATTTCCCTCTGCGCCTATAGAACTGAAATACGGTTTCAAATGTAGTTATTACACTATGCAATATACAGATCACTGCAGAGGAAACATACATGCTGATTTTTTACTGTCCAGTGTTCAGAATTATGATTGAAGAATGTTTGACTAAAACTTCTGACTGCAGTCCAAAGAGGACATTTTTACATTGACAGCATCAAGCATTATGGTTAATTTTCTAATTCATGAGGACTTGATTAGTTAGAGGAATACAGAGTTTTTCAATAAATAGTTATAAAAAGTGTATTGCTGTTGCTTCCATTTTTGGAACATCATACCCAAAAGTATTTTCCAACCAGATGCTCTAAATGAAAGGCTATTAAAAAATAAGCTTCCTTCCCACCAAATTTATTTATTAGTTTCTTCCCTGCTCTAAAGCTAAATCTTATACTAAAAAAAAAATCTCAGTAAACCAAGGAAAATTAGCTTCACCATAAACATACCTACCGAATGAGCCCCCTGCCACTGACTAAACTACATAGACAGGTGAAAATTTATTATGTTTCACTTTATTTCTGTGCATCAGCTCAGTCAAACAATAGGCCTGAGCTAATTAAAATTATATATTAAAAAATCTTTCGTGTGTCCTTCTCTTTCATTTTCCTGTCACAAACTCATTCTAAGATCACCCTTTGCTGGCAACACTTTAATAGCTTTAATCCTGCCAAACACTGTGCCAACTCACGTGCCAGATACAGATCTAATGAGAATAAAAGTCTTCAGTATTCTGATCTTTCCTTGTATATTTGAAGGAAAACCTGTTTCTTCAGGATTTTGTGTCAAATTCTAAATTGCCTAACCCCAGTTTTTGCTATGTGTATGTCAAACAAAAATTACTCCCAAAACAAAGAAAAAATTAGCATATTTAATGTATCACAAATTCATTCTCTCTTTGTTCCATAGTGCAGAAGACTGTACTTAAAATCATCAGCTCAAGAAGAAATAAAAACCCAATCAAACTTACAGCTGCACACTCCTGGAGTGTATTTCAAAATAGCATTAGGCAACCAAGATCTGCTCTTCTGAAGCAATGACACAAAAGTTATCTCTTCAGCCTTCCAGGTGCAGTTTATAAGCCTGCCAATTTTGAAGGTCAATTTATTCACCAGAATTTCTTTGCCTTTATTTATTGTATTTTTCTCAAGAAAAGAAAGAAAGGCTTCTGTATTTTTGAGTGACGGCGGATTCAATCTCATTATTAAAACTACTTTACATACTATGAGCCAAGTTATTTGAAAGAGCTTCTCCAACCCAAATATTTTCTGCTTTTACAAATCTGCTCAGGTTATAAAAAATCCAGGGATTGTGGAGATTAGGGTCCTCAGTCAAACAGGGCTGCTGGAAGAAGGCTGTCTGGATACCACTTGTAATATCCAATTTGCCAACATACTGATCCTCACATACAAGCTAAGTCAATGCATATTTACATTCATATTTATCCCAAGTAAACCCCTACATTTTCATCCTAAAAAAATGCTGGAAGGATTCAGAGATGGATAAAAGAAGAACTACTCAAAGCATTAAGGTAGATTCTGCTCTAACACATCACGAGAGACTCTGCTCTAAAGTTTACAGTTTAACTAGAAAAAGACAAAGCAGGACCAATTTTGTTACAGCTGTTTTGGTGAAGGGACATAAGGAAGTGAAGACTGAAAGGGGAAGCACCATCACTTATTAGACCAGCAGTGTGGAGCTCTGCCAGCTGTGTTTCAGACCCAAGGAAATCATCACACAGATGATTGCTCCTCAATGTGGAACCACTATGTTAACACAGCCAGGCAGTCTGAGAGAAGAGGGGTCTGATAGCTGTGAGGGGAGGTATGGGAAGTGCAAAGGAAAGAAGAAATAAGGTCACTGCCACCTAGTAGGGACAGAAAGAGTGAGATGGGAAATTGTCACCTGTAGCATAACACAGAGTCAGCTGGGGCAGGAAACATGAAAATGCATCAGAAAACCATTGATGTGTGTGTGATCAAAGGGAAAGAATGGGAGGAAAGAAACAGCATCATTTCATGCTCAAAGTTGAGAAGGAAATATTTGTTAAATCAAAACATAATGTCTTCTGCAAGCAAACTATAAACGGCAATTGATACACTTAAAAATTAGAAAAATAAAATTTTATGCGGATCTGATATAGATACATAGAGGAGAGAATTTAAACTCCACAGCTCCAAAAGCTATCTAAATTATTGTGAAATCTTTTAGATTGCTCTGGAAGCAAGACTAACAGCATCATCTTCAAGGTTTATGACAAGAAGCAGCAGGAACAGCAATGCCCAATAAGAATCTCAAAAGCATGATTTTTTTAAAACATGCTTGAGTTATATTTCTGCAAGTGAGAAAATA